TTTAACGGGACTCTGAACTTTGGGGACAAGGGTGAGCCTCTGGAGTGTCCCCTGCAGGGCGTCTTGTCTCGTGGCGATGTGGGGTACCTGCACTGGAGTCGAGAGCAGATGGAAAGAGGCCTGCTGCCACAGGTAAACACCTGGTTCTGGTTCTCTCTGTTGCAGCTCAGAGATCCGTTCATGTACCAGTTCCTGTCTCCAGGTGGGCAGCATGCTGAAGACGCCCCGTTTTCCCGTCTGGGTCTGCTGTATTAATAACAGCTTCTCGGTTCTGTTCAGTCTGAACCGATCCCTGCTGTGTGACTGGAAGAGGGAGCATCAGTTCCAGCTGTTCTATTACAACGGACAGAACCAGCAGAGGTCCACGACTCGGCTGACCATCGGTGAGCAGCACTATTACTCTGCACCCGGTCCGGTCCAGGCCCGCTCATGTCCAACACCTGTTCTGGTCGTTACAGATACTCAGTCCCACGACTGGGAGGGACCGCCCGTAGACCCAGAGGGTGACCCGGAGAAAAGGTTCCCTTCACTGGAAATGACCATCAGGACCAAGTGGGAGGGGGCTGGGATAGACTGGAATGGGACGGCTCCCTTCTACTGAGGAACCAGTCCCCAAACCCTTCGACCCGTTCGGACTGTGTTCTGATTAATTTAACTATTGATCAGAAACGTTTTTCACTCTGTTTTATTAATCAGAGACTTTTAGTTTTGAAACAACAAAAAGTCATAAAAATTAAAATATACATTTATGTTTTCAAATCAGGATTATTGATCGTCTCTTTTCATTGTTTAAATAAAAAGTTGAACTTCTGATTAAAGAACGTGGTCTGGTTCGTTTCTTCGGGTCCATAAATTCACCCAGGAGCAGGTCCAAACCTGACGGGACTCAGGGGGTCCCTGAAAATTACCGGTAGATTAAAATTAGATGAAATTAAACCTAAAGATCTGTTCAGTCCAAATCCAGGATCTCAGAGGACCCCGGTCCTGTAATGTGCCGGTCCTCAACAGTCAGCGAATCAGACCTGAGACTTCCTGTTCCTACAGGAACCTGAAGTGACCTAGTTTGAGACTATCCATGAGGCAGAACCTGCTGGAACGTCTCCTAACCCAATGTCTTTGTTCTGTCTACATACAGAACTCTGAGGGTCCACCAAGTCTGTGAACACCCCCTGGCACTCTGAGGCTCCCCGGGTCGTTCTTACGGTCCACATGTAGAACTCTGATGGGGGATTTCCACTAAAGTGGTTCTGAGCTGGTTTCGTTCTGGTCTTAGATTACTCCATAACGTCTCTGAACGCAGCACCAACCAGCCCCTGTTGTCCCAGAATGCAGCAGGACACGGTCCGGTCTCGGCGTCACATCATGCCGCTCCACTGTAAGGACGTGTAGCTGACGGGTCCGTCCGGCGCCGGCGAGCACAGCAGGACGGTCTTCTTCACGTTGGAGCCGAGCCGAGCCACGGTGAGGACGTCCAGCAGGCAGATGGACTCGTCCAGAGTCAGACAGACGGCGATGAAGTGGGCGTGGAAACGCAGCGGGTCACCTGAGGAGAAGGCGGAGTCAAACGATGGAAGGCAGCTCAGAAGGAACAAAACAGACCTGAGGTTTCCGACTCACCTGGATACACCAGGAAGTCTCCTCCAAACTTCCCTGCAGAGGTGAGGAAGAAGCCCTGCCTCCGCAGATCTCTGAACACCTGGTACCGGGCCTCGCTGCGAGGACTGTCCTGCGCTCTGATTGGCCAGTTGGCCTCCAGGAAGGCGCGAGCCTCGGGGCAGTAGCTAAGCCCCGCCCTCGCAGTGCTCAGCTGGACTGCCAGCGCTGAACGGGGGAATGTAAAGTTCTGATCGAGGGTCAGCAAGCGGCGCTGCAGGGCCTCATTGGACCCACCATCAGACTCTGACCCTGCAGAACCAGAACTGTTAGCTCGACATCAGGAACCCTCTGTAGGGACACATCGTCATGGTAACACCCTACCTGAGTATGATGTCACTGCTCGGAGCAGCGCCGACTTCCTGTCCTCCAAAGCGAGAGCACTCTGCTCCTGGAAACTCCTCCGCTGCTCCTCCTCATGTTGCTGAAGCCCCGCCCCGACACCAGAAGCTCCGCCCCCTATATCCTGACAAACAAGAAAAACGCTTTCTCAGCCACCTGCTGCTTAATGTCTAGGTAGTTCCCCAACTTGGTTCTGGCTCAATTGGGTCCCTGACCTGGTTCTGTTCAGGCAGAACGGCAGCAGCTCGGTCCTCACTCAGCAGCCTCTCCTCCTCCGGCAGCAGCAGCAGCGGTCGGCCCAGTCGGAGGTTCTGTCGGGGGGTTCTGGGCAGAGAGCCCAGCAGTGCTCCCACCAGCCCCAAGGACCTGACTGTCCTCAGATCCTGGACCCGCCACAGCAGGGGGGCAGAGTCACAGAGGCTTAGACCCACCACGAGGTTCTCCTGCTCCTCCTGACTCTGGTCCTCTTGGTTCTGGTCCTGATGGTTCTGGTCCTCATGATCCTGGTTCTCCATCAGCAGGAACTCTGGCTGTCAAAGCAACATGAATCAGTTAAACAGGTTGAAAATTTATCATCTCCGTCTCCAGGAAGTAGTCTGATGCGGTGATGATCCAAGCCTGTCTCTGATTGGTGGATTCAGACAACAGGTGTTGATGCTAACTCTGGCTCCTCCTCCTTACCGTTCAGATCTTCATATTGATCAGTTCTGATGGATCGATCAGCTCACTGGAACATTTTCCTGAAACAGGAAGTGGATTCAGTCTTTTTCAGTAAACTCTGTTAGGTGATCACGTGACTGACCATGGGACACGCCTACACTAAATGATTGAGGTTGATTGACAGGTGTTTGGACCAATCAGGTTCTGGTTCTTGTGTTTCTTCAGACTTCTCAGATTTGAATCCTGGATTCTGTCAGGATCCGGTTCAGTTCTGGGTCCACAGACTGGAGATCGGTCATGGATCTCCTCACTTGAAACTTGATTGTAGGAGTAAAACTGGACCGAACAGAACCTCCTTACTGGTCCTTCTTTTATCAGGGGAGGTATGAAACTGGAAAATTAGCTCTTTGCTCTGACCTGACACAGGTTCGGGTTTGACCTCAGGGTTCGGTTCTTCATCGAACCTGATCAGAAACAATCTGCTGATAAAACAATAAACGGTCACTTACGCTTCGTCATTAACGTCAGATCAGTTTTACCCTAAAAACTCCCGGAAACTGAACCTGAGAGTCGAACCACCGGTTAACGAATCACTAACCAGCAGTGTTGACATCTTACCCGCACGTGTCTCCTCAGAGTTCTGACGCACGACCTGCCGTAAACCGCTGTGGTTGTAGTTTCAGAGTGGGGTAACTTCAATATCTACACGCGCTTCTTCCGTTGGAGGGGGCGGGGTTTACAAGCTCACAATGGTCTGCGCACGCATCGTGAGTCAACAGGTTTCAGAACATTAAACGAACGCACCCCATAAAAAAACCCACGAGTGCAGCCAATAGGAGGCCAGAATCTTTTGAGTGGCAGCAGGAAGAACCAATCAGAGACCGCAAATCGTCTCAAGCGTGTCATTATTTGGAGATACGTGTTGGTCTGACAGGTGAAACTGTTTTTCTTTTATTTTTATCATATTATTTGCTAATTCTCTGTCACTAATAGTGTTTCTTAAATTTTATCTGAATAATAAGTTAACTTGTTTATGCAAACGTTGACCTTGGGAGGTATGACAGAGGATTCTTCACATATTAATATGTATCATTTTTTAATTTGAGATTGCCGTGTGTTCTCTTGTTCTGTTCAATAAAGTTAAAAAATAAATAAATAAATGTGAAAGTCTTAACTGGTACCGGTCCAGCTGCAGCAGACAAACCCTCCCTGGCTAAAAGCAGGACACTTAAAGCTTCTTAAAAAACAGAACCCAGGTCCAATTCAAAAGCTAAAATGATTTAGAACTGGACTCAGGACAAGAACCAAAAAGATTATGGGTCTTTTTTTTTTTTTTACTTTTTTATGAGTAATGAAAATAAAAAAACACAGATAATGAAGAGGCTTTTATTTTGAAAGATTCACTGTACAAACATTGCAACACACACTCCAAACGCTGCTCAGCCGCTGCCTACATTTCCCAGAATGCTTCATTGATCAGCGCCTGAAAAATAAGAACCTCTTAAAACAATCCTGTTCAAATTCTCCAGATTTAGTCCAATGAGAGGCTCTGACACAGACTCCTCCCCCTCCTGTCAGATAGCAGCATAATGATGTTGAGGGCGTGGCCTGAACGCCTGAGGCTCCTCCTACTCAGCGATCTGTAGCTCCTGCAGCTCTTTTAGCAGCTGCCCCTCCTTCTGGATCTTCTCCAGCTGCACAAACAGATATTTAAACATATTTACAGTTGTGTTCTGATCCAAATGTACCCAACAGAACAACAGTCAGCCGCTGGTTTGAACCACAAACGAAAAGAACCGAACAGATCAGAACTAGTACAACCCAGAGAAAAAAACTGAACAGTTTACGTCTGAACCAATCTGCTGCAGTTTATTGATAATGTGGGTTCTTCTGCATTCTGTTGGGTTCTGTTTGATTTGCGGCAAAGGTCAGAGCCATTACCTGGTTCTTCTGCAGAACTTTTCCAGACGCCTGCTGCTCCTTCAGCTCGTCGATGGCCTTCAGCTTCTGAAACACACAAACGCATCACTGACTCTCCGACCAGTCAGAGCAGAGAACCACAGACTCTGTCCAGTCATCAAAGACCCAAACAGAACATGAGAACCTGGGCCCTGGTCTGACCGGGTGCACGGTCCTGGCCCAGATTCCTTTTAATTTTTCCTTTTGATGATCCAGATTTCTCTGTATTCTTTATCATCGCCAGATGCTGAAGGTAAGGGGGAATAAGATGTTGTCTGTTTATCTGTTAGCAAAATATCTCATGAACCAGTGGTGGTATTTTAATCAAAGTTCTGTCTGCGTCTTGCTTTTCACCTTCTTTAAGTTCTTGATCTTCTTGTCCATCTCCGGGTCTCCGCTGCTCGCCTCTGATTGGCTACTGGTGATGGGGGCGGGGTCAGATGGAGGTTCATGTTCGAGTTTGGCTTCCTGTTGTAAGCAAACTCATCATCATCATCATCATCATCAAACAGATTAATCTGTGTTCTTAACGTGAACTTGGAGTAGAAATAAAGATGAAATAAAAACGAGTTAACTAATTAACGAGTCCTTAACGAGTTCTCACCTGTTTGGCTGCTTTCTTTGCTTCTCGTTTCTTCTGATTCTTCAGCGCAGACTTGGACATACTTTTGTCCCCTGAGAGTCCGGAGCGAAGGTCCTGAGGCGGCTCGTCTTCGTGCTGATGATGAGTCACAAAGTTTTCAGTCACATGACACCCAGTAAGCCCCGCCTCCTGCGCTGCAACCCACACACATCTGAGCAATTTTCCTGTTTCCTCACCAGTTTGGAGCTGGGTGTGGCTGGCAGATGTCTCAGAGCAGGTGGGCGGTATGCCTGTGTGGGTGTGGCCTGTGTGGTCCCCAGCTCGCTCTGCGCCGCCTGGTACTTGACGGCTCGCTCAGGAAAGCTGCCGTCTGGGAAGGACTGCCAGCGGACCTCCCACAGCTCCGACCCAGTGGCTGCATCTTGTTTGTGCAGCACGGAGCCGGTGTAGTGCCAGATCTTGTATCCGTTGCCAACCCGCAGCCGAGGGGAGCAGGTCGCCGTGACGATGTGTTCACCGTCAGGACACCAGGAGAAATGAGTGGTGTCAACAGCCTGAAGCTTGGACACCTGAGGAGGAGGTCCAAGTGAGAAAGATCTGAAAGAACTAATACTTTGGATCAAACGAGTAGCTGCATCTGCCATAGGAAGGAAAACATGACAAGAAGACCGATGAGACAGGAGTCAGCACACCTGTGTGTTTAAAGACTGAATATATGTGAACTTTAACCTCACTCAGCACCTGATAAACCATTGTCAGGTCACAGTGGACAGCTGCTTACAGGAGCTTACAGCTAATAACAGCTGCTAACATCTGCTAACAAGAGTCAAGAGATAATAACAGCTGCTAACAGATAATAACAGCTGCTAACAG